GAACTGGCCAGCTACTTCCTCCATGAACAAGCCCGAACTGTTGTGCCTAAACTGAAACTGGTTCTGAAATGTAAGCTTTCCGCGCTCAAGTTGACCTTCTTCCCGATGATCAATACGGCCGTGAGTCGAGGGCAATTACTAAAATCTTAGATTCAGGGCACACACGGCTGAAATGAGCTTTCTGAGATGAATTGCGGTGGTCATGTGCCTCGACATATACATGATGGTGTAGGCACATATTGCGAATGCTTTCAGATAAGAAGACGAAACAACTACCGGTTGCCCAACTGACTGGTCGAAGGCCCCGTAAGACGACCTAGAAAAACATGGGTTAAATGTAGAGAAGAATTACTCTAAACTCCTGCTATTTTCTGTCAAAGTTCAAATGTTGGCCGAAGGTCAGAAACACTTGACACATTGTTTGTCGTGTCTGCCATTGCTCCTGAGAGACAAACGGTAATGGATACCGACAGAGGGAGTGATAAATTATAAACGGATTTACGAGTGCATGACCACCGTCCAATGGTTCTGCATCTCATGGGGGTAAACTACTTGTAGAAATGTTTCAGCTTGGCATACTAGTTCCTCTATTTGGATGACTAGCCTTATTGGAATCAGATTCATAGCCTGAGTTCAGAGGCAGATGCACTTCTGGCAGGTTGAACAAAGGCAATGTATTTGAACGTACAGCACTGTGGGATAACACACACTACACAAGGTCAGGTTTTGGAATGATAATTGTTCAGGAACGGAAATCACTCTGAGTAAATCTTGCCTTCTGGTTTTTTTTCGCAACCAGGGCTGTCCATTATCTTTCATTTTCACGTATAATTATTTTTGAGTTTTTTCGATGGATTGCCAATCGACACGGTTATCAATGATGCTATTTTCTGCCAATGCTAAGCCTTTATTGCTTCTACAGGCCATATATTCCTGAACCATGTCGCCATCAACAGTACAACTCAGGTGAGTCCATGCCACCAAGGTGGCCTGATGTGGCGGCATTATTTTCTTATACAGAGGACACTTTAACTTACGCGGGGAACGGTACATTTATCTTACACTGATTGGTTCATGATCCGTTCTGTTATTTCAATCACATTCCTTTGATAGTAATGCCATAATGGAGGGCTGATGTCACGTTGACCCAGGTGTGACTTGGTTAATAATTAACTTTGATCAGCATCCTATCTATTTTACGAAACTGCTCGAATATCATGAACTATTCTGTCTGATGGCAGTTTTGTCTTAAGTCATTTCACGCACAAAGCAGCAACCGAAATCCTTTATTTTTGAGCAGTTAAGACAGGTAGAGTGGCATATGGAAAAAAATCAGCAATAACAAAGCCGCTACACCGCAAGCAGCTTTGACAGCAGTCTACTACGCATACATCTATTCCACGAAAATCAGAGTAAACGGACACAACGCTTTAATGAATATATATATGTAAGGATAACATACTGTTCATCGCATAAGCAAAGGAGATTTCTAATTCAAACAGGGATCGTAAAAAACACTATAACATCGACGAAGTGTACTGCCTCAGATGCGTTTGTGGCGA